CCATTCATTTACGAATGTGATTGCACTTTAGATTTTAATGAGGCAAAATAACATGCTTTTTCTCTCAAATATATTGTTATAATCATTTTTTTTCAGATGTACTGTAATTATTTTCTGTATAAAAATTAATTTGGTGTTCAAAAAGTCTTTTTTCAAGCTTGAGTCTTGAAAAAGAGGGGGTCGTCTTATAATCAGGGCCGTTTTATATTCGGGCCAATACGGTAGTTCTACATGCAGTTCCTAATCCGAGTCCTTGTTATTCTTCTTCTTAAAACAAATTAAATCTCACACTTATGAATGTGTTTACTGCTCATTCCCTTTAGGAATTTTCAAGTTGTGTGCTACATTTTAAAAATTTATTCCCTGGAGATATGATACAAATGGAGAAAAAAATGTATTTGTAAACTGTTGGCCAAATATAAAATCATTCCTTTACTCCCGGCCCTCTGCTTACTGTACCTAATAAAGCTGACATCATTACATGTTGACGATAAAAGTGGATGAATTTGTGATGGTAATTGACTGACCATTAGAGTGTCACTTACAGTCAACATTCCAGCGAATATTCCTGGTGGAGAGTTTGAGTGAGTCGTTGATGAAAAAAAGTGTGTCAAAATAAAAATCACAGGTCATTTCATGTTATTCACAATTTCACAGTTAAATCTCCATAGAACAGGAGAGAATGAAAGACAACGGCTTCCAATTCAACCACAGAGGAATGTGGAGAATGGGAGGGATTAGAAATGACTGAACAATAGACGTAGCTATGGCATCATAATTACATTGTGGAGAAGCACAGTTACATCTCGGCTGTTGAAAGAACCCGGGCATCATTTCTGTGAGAGGTCCACGGTGACTCCATACTGTCACATGATCTTGACAGCAAAACAACACTGCTGGCTACTGATACAATGAATGAAGAGCTGCAGCTTCTCCATGTAAACAGGGGACCTATCATCTCTCATCTTAATGTTTGGAGAGAACATCACGTGTGTCATGATCCTGTTCTTGTGTTTCTCCAGCAGATGGCAGTGTAAGGCTTCTCTTCCAGCATGCACAACTGCTGCCAATTTGATCAACATGTTTACGCCATGTAATTAAGGACTGCCAAGATCCCATGTGCTTGTCGGATTATTGACCTTGTTGCTGCTCTTGCTCCAGTGTTGTTTGTCTAGACCTCTCGATCTCGTCAAAGTCGTTCTTGATCCCTAGTTCCACGTTTTGTAAATATCATCGTTTGGTCATTTGAACTTGCTTTTGTTTGTCGTGTTAATTGGACTCTTGTCATTTTGTTTGTATTCTCGGTATTCCATGACCTTGCCTTTATCAAGCGGCTTTTGTTGATTCCACGTTTTTCCCTAGGTCCTTGTGACTAGCGTTTTCTGTTTTTGGCCTTTGTTTCGTTTCGTTTCATTTGTTTATTGAACATAAAACACAAGTAATAATTTGACAGAAAGTAAGGTAAGTAAAATAGTAAAAGGAAAGAGAAATCAGTCATCATTCAACAGTTATTATGTTCAAGGGAGTAGGAAGAAGTAAGGAACTTATCTAGTCCTACCCCGTGTTATGTGTTTATGTCTAATAAATCATTTTTATATCAATCAGAAAAGAAAGAAAGTAAGAAGAAAGAAGTCTCCATTAAGGCTCATGCTTTACCCTTAACCGTGATATTTTTACAACTTTTGGTTTGTATCGGGATTTCATACATACATACCCTGGCACTCTTGTGTCAATTTTCTCTTGTATTCATAATGGATATTTCCATACCTTTCTTTATTTATCAACTTAGTTCTGATTTATCATTATATTTAATGTTTAGAATTTATCATTTTAACTCTGATTGATGTAGGTTGTTTGTACTATTTTTTTTTAAATTTGTTTTTGAACTCCTCAAGCGATTTACTCATTTTCAGGTCCGTTTCGAAATTATTCCACAGATTAACACCTTTGATAGATTTGTCAGTTTTGAATTTTAGATAATAAACATTTTTGTTATTGTATTTTGTCTGTGTCTGCATTTCTGGGATCCTAAACACTATTTGGTTAGTTTCTAACCTAACATCGAGCTTTGGAGAAGAACTACGGCTGAAGTTCAAATGTCACTGAGGAGGAGAGGTCTGACGGAAATCACACATTTCACTTCAATTACATTAAGTGTGTAAGCAAGGGAAGGCAAGTCTGGGCAATACTCCTGCTACTGTGCTAAGAACCCTATTTTTACTCTGACCATGGTAGTGCTTGTGATCCTGTGTGTGTTTGTTGTCCTGCTGTTATCTCTCTTGTTGCAGTCGCTTGCTGCACAGCAACATAGGTGTGTGAGTTGCACGTCTGTGTGTGAGTGAGAGACAGAGACGCTCTTGTTCAACTACAGGTACCAGTACATCGCTTGCTCTGCTCCAATACCTGACTACTTTACACAGTACAGTATTTCTGTCGATTGACTGAATTAAATGTACAGAGAGTAAAAGGTTGGCAGAAAGCACATCATGCAAATCCACGGCCAGCAAGTATCAAACCTCTGAATACCGTGTGTGTGTGTGTGTGTGTGTGTGTGTGTGTGTGTGG